ACACACACACACACACACACACACACACACACACACACACAAAGCTACGAACTTTAAAGTAGAACATTATTTACATCAGATGAATGAGCCACAGGGATTGACCAACAGGTGTCAGTTGGGTCTGAGACGAGCTGATTGGCTGCCAGTCAGTAAATCAGCAGGTATTTTAAATCAGCGCTACCTGATGAGATGATTAATGATGGAGCTTCTGTAGGTTTTATAGCTCAACTGTTGGAGTTGTTGACACTTTCCTCAGCGATGGAAACTTTACACATTGCTGAAACTCGATGCTGAAACACCTGAGAGAGAAACTAAAGCTCAAGGCGCAAAATATGAACCAAAGCTGGATTTAAAACAGGAAGTTTGTTGTCATCACTGCTGGTGGTAGAAAATGTCTGGATGTATAAAACGCAGTCCCAGTTTTCCTCCTCTTCACTGTTTGTGTTTACATCAGTAAACTGTGATAACTAGCAGCCTGGTCTGGTTGGGCTTCATCTCCGTTTCTAGTTGTCCCTGTTCGTCTTCTCGCTGGATTCTTTTCCCATATCTGTCCATCTGAAACCCCATCTTTCTCTTTATTTTGCTTCTTGTTCTTCCACCTGACCGCAAAGGGGATAAGAACTGCAACTTGACAAAGCATGCATGCTGGGATACGGTCACAAAAATTGCGTTTCCATGACAAATAAGTCGGTGTTTGTGTTTAGTTTCCTGCTGTTGTTTTTGCCAGAGTCGTTTTACGTGTCTGACTCTGCCGTCCATTATCAGGGTTATATATATATAGTATGCTGCTCTCAGTGCCGTCTCTGTTTGTCTGCATGCCGTATGTGTTCATATCTCACTGTCTCAGTGTGTGTGTGTGTGTGTGTGTGTGTGTGTGTGTGTGTGTGTGTGTGTGTGTGTGTGTGTGAAGCCATCTGTTCCCCGTCGGGTCTGGTCCTGCCTCTTCCTCTGTGTTTTCAGAGACGAAGATCCACCTTTACTCTCTTTGAAGTAGCAGGTTATTAGCTCCAGGTAAACATTGATAAATTTAACTCTTGATTATACTGTAAAACAAAAACAATGTTAACGGCGTTGACATTTAAAGCTTTCAGCTTGTTTGCTTCCTCTAAATACATATTTCTCATGTGACGTCACACTTCTGGTCTTAAAGGGCCAGCATTGTGTTTTCCAGGACGTTTTATTGCATAATCCAGTAACTGATATTTTCAGTTGTTGTAAACATGCTTATGTTTGTCAAATATGACTTTAAAACAAGTTTTACTCCCTGATTCCTGATTGAAATTGGGCCTCTGTCTCTTTAAAAGCTCCTCTCTTCACGCTTTAATGTTTTACCAGAGCAGCTCTGAGCAGCAGCTCCTATAATGAGCTCAGCAGGTGTTTGCTAATTGCTGCTGGCTAGTCTGGAGGAGCTGAGTGGGGGAGGAGCCTTGAAGGCGGGGCTAGGTCTACCCAGGTGTTTAACAGCTGAATGGTTGCCATGGAGATTAAAGGACCACTCAAACATGGAAAAAAATCAAAGAAACATTCCAGGGAAAAACCTTATAACATGATGCAAAGCTAAAAAATAGAAATCAATTTTACATTGACTTCTTTAAATCTGATTTTCTGAAACCTGCAGATACCTTTAGAAGTGATAAAATAACATGAATATCTTATTTAGAGTGAAACGTGTCTCTCTGGTTTCTAACTGAGCCGTAACCGTAGCGACCTTCCACCAGGTGACTTGTCGGTGTTTCTTTTCCTCCTTCCTCCGTCTGATCGGCTCTGCTGCCGTTTGTTTCCTCACACCTCTTCCCCATTTCTTGTTTTCTCCTTCGTCACCTATTCCCTCCCTCAGAGCTCTCCTGATTCCTGCAGAGGCATGCTGCGTCATGGAAACAGCCGCTGTGTGTGTGTGTGTGTGAGTGTGTGTGTGGGGTAGCTGGTGTTAAACGCACCCTAACAGCACCTCCTGCTGTCCTGTTGTTGGATTATTGCAGGCGGTTCAGGATTTACAGGAGACTTTTCCTCTGAATCCTCCTCTGTGGTATTTCAGGTATTCTGGGAGCGCTGCAGGTTTACAACAAGAATTTAGATAAAAAGGAAAACAGAACTATTAAAATAACAAAGCAACTAAAGCTGCTTTGTTAATACTTTACAGCATGAGCATCATTCATGGTTTCTCTGCTCTTTGATATGAATTTTATAAATTTTAATCACTTGCATTAATATTTAAGAAATTCTCAGCTAATAAGCAATTTCCCCCTGGAGAATAATAAGGTATATTTTATTCTGCTGTAATGGGACTATCGTAGTTTTTCTCTCCTCAGGTCTGTCCAAGTCGTTTCCGTTAGAAAGCTCTCTGTTCGACAGCTGGCTGGCCAAGTCGGTCCAGATCACGGCCGACGACATGCTGAGCCAGTGGGCTCTGGGCGGCCAGCACGACGACCAACGCAGCAGCCTGCTGTCCGACCAGGTACGGCTGGGAAATGCTATTTTAAGAAATGGGAACAGGAGGGAGGGCAGATCATCACTTTTATAAAAACTATTTTAATAAAATGTCGTGTTATTTGACTTACTGATTTATTTTGTAATGTTTACAATCTGTTGAGTGTGAAATCAATGATTAATTATTGGTTAATCCAGTGTCACTGTGTTTGCACTGTAAAACAGAAATCCCAGGGAAAGTCATGATTTAAACTGAAATGTCGCCACAAAAAACTCAAAAAGTCACAATGGGTCAAAAAACAGGACAAACAGAAATGGTTTGAATTGTCACAAGTTTATGAATGAAGTCGATATATATATATATATAATATAGACAGATTTGGGCTGCTTTTATGGAGCTGGGCGGGTTTTGCGATGTTTCTGCACTGCAAAAACACAAAATCTTACCAAGTAATTTTGGTCTAGTTTCCAGAGCAAATATCTCAGTAAACTTGAAATAAAACAAAACTTACAGGTAACTTTCAAGCAAGAAATGGGAGTTTGTCTTTAGTGAATAATTCCTTTATATTGATGAAAAAGTTCCAGTTTCATTGGTAGATTATTTCACAGACATTTTTCCCTTCCTCCTACTCCCCTTCCTCCACCTCCTCCTCCTCCTCCAGCTGATGCAGGGTGAGGAAAGCCTCCTGAACCTCATGATGGAGAACTCTATGCAGTCGGCGTGGAAAACGCCTCAGCTGGGCCGGAAACCCAGAGGAAGCAGCAAGCCTCGTTCTCGAGGACCGAGCGGCGCCGGCGCCCAGCGGGTGTTTGGGTCGGCCGCGTCCGGCAGCCCGTCCACAGCCAAGAGCCTCTGGGAAAAATCCAGCCACGCTGGCCGCCGGGGGGAGAAGTCCAGAAGCTCGTCCAAGGCGGGTCACCACCACCAGACCAGGAGCTGCGACCCGAACGGCGACCCGCCGCCGCAGCCGCCCATCTCCAAGATGGATTCCTGCCACATCTCGGAGGAGCGCGGCCGCTGGGACAGCGTCCGCATGGCGTCCGGTTTCATGGCGAGCGCTTCCCCTCCGCCGGCCTCCAGTCCGGGAGCCGCAGTGCCTGACGCCGGGGCCGTCCTGCGGGGGTCGCGGGGTCGCGTGGCCCGGCAGGGTAAAGTGAGGTCAAGGGTCGGGGAACTGGACTCCATGGACCTGCCGCTCACAGGGAAAGGCGCATCGATGCTGGACGCTGCCGCCGAGACTGATGGGTACTTCTCCGATGGAGAGAGCGATTTGGAAACGCGGTCCGGCGGACGAAAGCTTCGGCTGCCACAGCTGCATCCTGCCAACGAGGATCTACTGAGGAGGAGCGTCCTGGCGTCCTAAACAAAGTAACGGCGGCTGCGCAGCCTTGTCAAACCAAACCCGTGGTGTGGAGCGGCGTCCCAGCTCTGACTCTGCCTGGTTTTCTGAATGTAGCTGTATGCCGACCGTACAGTAAAGCTTCTCCACTGGACCGCAGTTCGCTCCTCATACTATTGGAAACTAAACATTCGTCTTTTGTATATTTCTAACTCATCTGGTTGTGGCCTGGTGTCTGTGGTTTGGTCAGACTTGGGAACAAACACTTTGGGGCATTACTCCTCTTCTTACTCGCGCTGGTTCCAGGGTATGCTTTAAGGTCCGAGCTGCATCCAACCAGTTTTCCTCAAAATATTCAGACGATTTCATAGCAGAGCTGGCATGAATATGTGCAGAGGGCGGCACAGGGCAGCATGTTCTCAGCCTTGAAAAGCACAATAACTAGTCAGTCGAGCTGTCATGGAAGCACTTGAGAGTAAAACCGAAGCTCATTCAGGGCTGGGGTCGATTTCAGACGCCGAGTTTCTCATTTTATCGCTTCTCATCCCTTCAAAGCAGAAATATTACAGACTGAAGACTGACCCCAACCCGCCACTGTCAGACACAAACTGACATATTCACTCATCGTAGTATCGCATCAATCAGGGGTGTCCAAAGTGCGGCCTGGGGGCCATTGGTGGCCCCAACTGCAATTCAAGAACGGCATAAATGTGGCCATTTAGTACTTTTTGTAATTTTTACAAGTTCAGCTTGTTTTTAATCAAAAACAGACTTTGGTACACTCATCCATTGCATTTGGCTAAATAAAGCAAAAGTTATAAAAGAAAATGTTTTACTTTTGTTACGGGGAATAAAGTAAAAACATTTTATAGGTTCATAAAATGGAAAATAAGTTCAAAAAGTTAAATAACTTTTATGCTTGCCTTAGTATTATCCACATAAAAGAAAGAATTCACATTGATATCTTTTGCACTTTTAATTGTGGGAAAAAAAATTATATTTTGGCCCCAGAATATTTTCTGCTTGGGGATTTTGGCCCCTCAGTGCAAAAAGTTTGGACACCCCTGGTATAAGTACTTAATCCAATCTTTCTCCATTTCTTCCTAAATCAATTCTACCCCCTAAATCTTTACAAAAATATCAGCAGAGAAACGTTGTGCCTTGCGTCACTTCCTGTGGCCTCCCCACAAAACAATCAGTGAGTGAATCAATCAGCCTCTCAATCCAAATTTGTAACAATCAAAGCAAAATAAAATCCCAACTGATTGGCTGCCATGTGGCCACTGGGTGTCTTCACCATAATGATTGAATAGTGCCTAAAAAAACCAACATGCAGCGTTTGCCATTTTTGTAACCAATACATCTGCAGCACTTTGCAGAGCCACAGAGCTGCCTAGTGTTACGAGCCGCCCCTGAACGCACCACGGTCGCAGAGAGCCTTTAAAAACAAGAGCTTGGCCAAGTTACACCATGTTCCAGCTTTCAGGAGTCCTGCAAGATATTTGCTGCTCATGTTTGATCTGCTGGGATAAAAACAGGTCTGAGCCCATTTCAGTCCGTTGGTTTTATAAAAACCACCAAAGAAAATCTACATTTTATTGTGAATCAGAGTTTATTTGACATGAGACATCAGTAGAATCACAGAAGATCATTTCTGCAGTGCAGTTGAAAAGCAGCTCAAGCTACTGATTTATATTTATACTCAGTCTTCCTGGTGGAAGCAGTTATTTCAGTTCTCTGTGTTTATCTGAGACAAAGTTTGTAGTAATATTATAAAACAAATAAAATACTCAACAAGCTTAAAACATAGTCCTCACCCAAACTTTGAGATTTCCAAAAGTCTAGAAATATATTTAAATCTAGTTTAAAAAACTAAAACAATCAAACTTTGTAGCCTAGTGAACCCCAGAGGAAACCAAAACCAGCTGGGAAGAGATAAAATCCAATCCTGCTGCAGACCGCCTCCAATAATACCTAAAGCTACAGATTATAATAGTTTAAACATTAAATATACCTTAATAACTACAGCAGAAACCTTTAATATCTACATTCATCCTTATTTCCGTTCGGCAGCCGATCAGAACCAAGGAAGCTGAGAGGTAAACGTCAGCCGATGGCGTGTCACGATTATGTTTTATGCTTTACTAAAACTATTTTATAAACATTTCAATGATTCTGAAGATAAATTACAGAGGATCCCAAACTTTTCAGGCAGTTTTCTGCAAATAATTTGCAGAAACTTCACCGATGTGCAGAGAATAAATGTTTAAGCTTCCTAAGCTGCTTGCTATTGGCTGGTGTTTACAAAGCAGCCAATCAGGAACGCTGTTCATGTTCATTGGTGCTGAAGGTCTTAGCTTCCACTGTGCGTATATTTGGTGTTTGAACCATTAAAACCTTCATTATTAGAGGAAATGTCCAGGATTTTAGCTAATTGTTGTGGTTCAAGTCAATTCCAACTCATTTAAGTCGTCGTAGATGAAAAATATCAGAATAAATTGGTCAGTTCAGGCCATTATGTGCATCTATGCAGTTTGCCGTGTTGTTTTTTGGTCCTCTTAGCGGATTATGACACCAGCACAGCGTTCTGATCAAACCAGACTTGACCAAGCTCCTGCAGCAAACGGCTCGACTGCATAAACCGTAAACCACCACAGATAAAACATGAATCGGCGCCCGGCTCTCCTGAGCTCCCAGACCCAGCTGCGCCTCGTTTTACTGCAGATTCACACATCTTACCCTACAGCCGTATTTTATACTCAAGAAGCAGTTTGTGGTATTCTCAGGGGTTAACGAAAAACTTTTAAAAAGAATAAATACAAGATTAAAAAAAAACATGTATGTAAAATTATATATAATACACACATATATCTGTGTGAGGTGTGTTTAGAAAGTTTGTTTGGTAAGAGTCCGTTTGATTTCCAACACCAATACTACTGAGCAAGTGTCTTCTGTCGGTGTGAGCTTCAGGCCCGAGTTCAACGGCTCTGATTTCACAGATCATCATCAGGATGAAGGCTCTCCTGATCAACAAACCAATCAGATCGATTGATTAGAGCCGGGCCTGACACACAGCCTTTAAGCAGAGATCTCTGTCCATCCTGCTCTGGTTTAGTTCACTTTATTTTCTGTAGACACATTCTGACTGGTGTTTAGGAACGACCATGCCAAAGAACAGACCTGTGTATCAAGGCAGCATATTTACATCTTGTCCACACACACACACACACACACACACACTCTGTCTCTAGACTGCAACGTAAAGTGAGTTTGATAAAGTGTTGGAAGGTTTTGGTCACGTAACAGATTTCCAACACGAAGCTGGTCTAACAGGGTTACAAAGCAACAGATGAATAGTTTTCTATGGATGTGTGGTTCTGACTTCCTCAGAGAAACGCAGAGTTTATGACAAGCGATGGCACTGTGTCCTTTTCGTTCTTCAGGGGATTTACACGGCTGTGCTCTATTCTGACAATGTATCTTTACTCAGAGTTTCTGAATTCGTGCCGTGGCCTGGAGGAAGTCGGACCTCTGCTACGTCTCAGACACGACGACGCGTCTCTGGAGTGACGATGCTCGTTCCAGCCTCATGCGTCACCCAGACATATTAATGTAATCTTGGTTTCAGAGTAGCCTGATGTCGTAGACGGTGGTTGTAGATGAGGCCTGTACGGCCTCCACATGTAGTAGCAGACGCTGAGGCTGCACAGCACCAACACAAGAAATCAAACCTGAAACCAATCGGCAGATATTTTAACCCTTTGCTGTGCAGCCTCAGCAACCAAACCTGGTTTATTATTCTGTATTTACAGTGTGGCTTCAACGCCCTCTCCTTCCGCTTCATAGATGCTGTAGACTGGACTCTATTATTTTTCACTAGGTTCAGCTTCAACGGTTGGTATGCTGGTGCGGCCGCTGGCTCACAACTCCAGATGTGACCTTTGAGTTTTGCAACTCTGACAACAGAAACACGTTTTCTACACCTTTGTGGGTTGGTTCTGTGAAACTTTGATCCATTAGAAGAAGAATCGGTAAAGCAAACGAGTATTTGGGATAAAACTTATTATAATGTGCCTGTCACTTTAAATTTGAGTATATTTATCACTTAAAATACAAAAGCCGACTCAATATTACGAGTCGGCTTTTGTATTTTAGACTCAATTTCAATATTTGACACATTTATGTAGCAAAGATTTGATTTATTGTGTGAAGTAAGTAAAAACATTATAAAACATAATATGGACTAGAGCTGCAACTGATGATAATTTTAATAATTGATTAATTTTTCAATTAGGCACATTGTCCAGATTAAATGTTAATACAATATTAAAAGATCCAAAGAAACAATTCACTTCCTTTTTGTTAAGAAATAAAGCTGTTAGCAGCAGGTTGGGGTTTTCTACAGGAACAGCTTCGCTTTAGTAAATCTGAACCCAGTGAAGCTAAAACATTTAGAGACATTTAACATGTTTTCATCTTAAATGTCTCTAAATGTTTATATTTTATACAGTTTTGTCTTAATTACAGCTCTGACTATATAGACTCAAAAAAAAATTTACTGAGGGAACAAGTAATGATGACTAAATTAGTTAATTATTTCAGTGATTGATTAATCACAATTAATCAGATTAATCTTTTCAGCCCTTATTTTTGGCCAAATTTCACCCTCATATAAAATAAGCTGCTGGCGGCAGGTCAGGACCAAACTTGGACTCTGAAGCGTCTCTGGGGGAAACGATGGAGAGGCGGTGGAAAGCCAGCGCCTGCTGCAGGTTATGGCAACTTTTCCTGCCGTTTGGTTTCTGTTGCAAAACTCAAGAAGAGACGTCCGTCTGTCCACCGGTTGGTTTTCTTACAAAGAAACCAAACCCTGAGAGAAATAACTCCTGCATGTGACCACACCTGCATACTGCCGGACGCTTACACAATATTCACAGTTACAATAATGTATTATACTGTTCAACTAATAGCTACATTTTCATATTCAGTGTTTTTAAAAAGCCTTTGCAGATGTTTTTTGGTTGGTAATGCTTAGTTGTATCAAACTAGAAAGCTGACTCATTATCTGCTTCCACTGGTTTTACTGGCGTTTTGTTTTCCTTCCCAGTTAAAGTTAAAACTTTAACAGCTGTGCAGATCAGACCTTCATCCTAAAACAGCTGCAGCCCAGGAACAGACAGGAGGTCAGGGAGGCTTCAGGCGCCATAAAGTGAGATTTTATTTACAGTCAACGTGATAGAAAATGTTTTTATTACACATTCAACTAAATACTCTTATCTTCTTTAAATGTGATGCATTTACAGGTTAGGCAGCTTCACAGATTTCTCTGTTAAGAACTGAAGGAAGATTTATTCGCAAAGCATGAAAAAGTGGAAAATTACTCAATAAAATTAAAATTGACAAGATTTTACGCTATTGATGATATTTAACCTTTATTTCAGCAGGAACTGTTTCATTTTCCTACTGAAATAAAAGGTTCAATGTTGATTTCTCTCCCTTAAAAGGAGAAAAAGATTAAATACCACAAAGTTGACATTTACTGTTTGGAAATAATTTAACCATTAAGGTTAGCAGCTGCCTTGCCGCTTTATTTTACATAATTACTTAATGGAGAATTCATTTGTAGTAAAGCGGCACCAAAAAATAGAGGTTGTGTTTTTAAATCCCACAGAAAAGTGAATAACTAAGATCATCTCCGTTTATGAATCAAAGTATATACAGCTAACATTTTTAGCATTTTCTTTTATTTTTAAATCTACATTCTTAGTTTGGTGCATTTCTGATCTTCATTCAACAGAAATTACTCTGAGCCAAAAGCTTAAAAGGATTTACTTCAAACTGTAGATGGTCAGTTGGATCAAATGCTGGGCCTCTGACTCCACCGCTGAGTAAACAATGATTTTCTTTAAAGTGTCGGTTTTTTCTACCATCTTTAAACAAACTATTTTCTCTCATTGCAGCTTTTTTACACTAAAGCTCTGATCTGCACAATCAGAGCACCTTACTGCATCATTTTCCTTCCCATCACCAGCAAACCAGCGTTTCCGCCTCTCAGCCCTCCATCCTGGTTTGTTCCTCCACTCCTGCTCTACTCAGCGATCAGCTTTTCACTTTCCTTTAGAAACATATTTTACTCACAAAAAGCCAGAATAAATGTGAACATCAGCAGCTTCAAGGACAAATGCTGACAGTGGCAGGCAGGTTTAAGGAGGTAAAACATTCGCGCTCCGCTCTGCTTCATTCTCACTCAGACATGTGGAGGAACTGAAGCCAGAAAAACAGAACAAGCTGTTCTCTCTGCAGCCTTTCCACAGTCAAGTTAGCACACGGCTAATATAAACAACAACACACATGCAACTTCTTAAGCTTTCTCTGCTTTCACTGATGCTCCTCGTTTGCAAAGTGTAACAATCAAATCAAGCTAAGGGAACAGGAAACGAGCATTTAATAACTCGCCGATTA